AAAAAAAAAAAAAAAAAAAGTCATTTTAAAAATAGCTTTTCTGGTGATGGGGCATGATAGAACCCTGGGGAAAACCAGAGAAGCCATTTATTGTGGAGAAAACAGAAGCAAAGTGGTTTCAGTGGCTGCTTTTTCAGCAATGGGGGAGAGGTTTGTTGAGCAACCTCACAGGCCCAAAGGGTCACCCCAGGGCAAGTTCCCTCCTCTCCTTCTTCTCCTTTTCTTTGTAGAAAGGATTATAACTGTAGCTCTTAGCTGTCCTATGAAGAAAGAGATTTTAGAGCTTTCCTTTTTTTGCATACAGCAGTCTCTCACTTATCAGAGAGGCTACCTTCCAGACACCCTAAAAACAAGCGAAAATCAGCGAAGTAGAGACATTATATTTATTGTAGTATTTATATATTTTTCAAGGCTTTATAAACCCTTCCCACACTCTTATGAACCTTTCCCACACTTTTAAAAACACTGCAAATATTCTCAACCATTTTCTAAACTCATAAACCTACGTAATCTTAACAACGTATGTATACTGTACGGTACTGCAAAATCCTGCCATATAGTGAAAAATCCCAGAGAAATGATTTATGTAAGTAGAAAACAATGAACATTACACCTAACTTATGTTAAACAAACATAAACATTATATTGATTGGTTAGCACCCTGAGCAAAATGAAGCGTTCAGCATACTGGAGTGTGCGTGCTGCGCTGCAGAGGGTGCCCCGTCGGGTGTCAGTGTAAAGTCAGTCTCTCTTCCTGGGTTTCAGGATTCGTTTCCCAAGTGTGTGTTAGAGGTTTGCTCACGTCAGTGGGTGTGTTTGTCCCTTTTATTTAAGTCTTTTTTGACTTTTATTGGTATATATTTGCAGTACATAATGACTACATTCACTTCAGGGAATTGGTCCGTGTACAGAACACAGTTTACTTTTCCACCTTCCTGCCACCCTCCTTTGTTTTTCAAGCCAAAAATTCACGTATTTATTTTATAAGGCCTTATACAGTTGGTTATCATTTATATAGATTAAGAACCAGGTTAATAGGCCAGAAACATATATCATGTAAGGCAACTGTACTAAGTCAAGGTATGCTTTTAGATACACTGTCCTTGCCAGATTATAATAAATGTCTTTTTCTCTTCATTTGTCTTTTATTTTGTATATAAGATTTTTCATAGAAGAGAAATTGTGTGGGACTTAAGCTGTGTGACTGGCACTTCACTTAACGTTGTGGTCTCAAGGCGCGTCCATTTTCTTACAAATAACTCATTCATCGTTCTTCACGGTAGAGCGGGCCCCGAGGCCAGATGCCATGGCTTCTTCATGCACTCATCTGCTGGTGGACGTGCCAGCTGTTTCCAAGACATGGCTGTTGTGGTTGTGCTGCTGTGGCATGCATGCATCACTGATATGACGTCATCAGCCCTTGGAGAAGATACCTGGAAGAATAGCTGAGTCAAATGGAAGAGGTACTTTTAGATTGTGAAGACTCTCCATACTGATTTCCGAAGTGGTTGGCTGTGCCTGTCCTGATTTGTGGCTTCCAGGTAAGGAAGTTTAGTTTCATCTGGCCCAGAGATGGGGTATGTTGACCCGAGAGGTTCCTAATGAGCACATCTGGGTGTGTCCCCTGCTGCCTTTCATTTCTGGGTAGAGGAGGCCAGTGCCTTGTACCTTTGGTGCTTTTGTATGAAGCTCTTGTTTTCTAGGGACTTAAGACCTTCTACCACTAGACAGAGGTTTGGAGGGACAGAAAGCTATGTGGTCAGAGGGCAAAGAGTTAAAAGAAAAGCATTTGGCTGAACTTGGGGAAGTCAGTTCTCAGCTGGCCTCCAGGTGACAAAGGGGTCACTGGACAGGGACTAAGGAGCTCAGCTGAGGAGGACGTGGGACCCCAACTCCACCCACCGACTAGGCTCTTGACTCTAGTCACAGGAAGGAACTTCAGGATGTGTCAGACAGAGACACACAATAGTTTATCAGGAAGAAAGAGGTACACACTCGGAGGAGTGTGCACCCTCCATGTGCTTTTCTTGAGCCAAGTGTGGGGACTTAGCTGAGCCTGAGGGGGACAAACTCCTTGAGACTAGAGCAGAGCCAGGCCTGAGGATGCAGAACGCTGGAGGCAGGCACTGTGAGCAAGCCAACCTCCAGCTGAGCTGCATGTCCACGGGTGTCTGGCCTTGGTGTTCTTCTTTCTTAACTGCAACCCAGAGAGCCTGAGAATGAGCAGGGGCCAGGCCATTGTCACTGCCTTTCCATCACAGAGCTTAGGGCCCACCCAGTCCAGCTTTCCTTTATGTGTCCTGTTTCTTCTTCTCCTTCTTCTTTTTTTTTTTTTTTTTTTTTTTTTTTTTTTTTGACAGAACCAAGGATTGAACTCAGGCCCTAGTACTCACCATGCAAGCACTTATTCTACTGAGCTATCTCCCCAGCCCCCCTGTTTCTTCTTAGTCTCACATCGCTCCTCCTCATGACCCCACTTTCCAAGCAGGTTGACACACAAGGTAAATCAAGGGTTGAAGCTGTGGAACCTGAGAATAATTTCCTCCAATAAAACAAAAACATGAATGAAACAATCACAATCTCGGGGGCTGGTGAGATGGCTCAGTGGTCTAAAGCACCTACTTAGAACAAGCTTAGCAAAGCCCAGGGACCACGGTTCAATCCCCCAGCACCACATGCCAGCCAGCCCCGCCCCCTGGTGGGCTGAGCTGGCCACACACACACACACACACACACACAAATAAATAAATGAAATTAAAAAAAAAATCAAGATATTAAAAAAAAAAAAAAAAGAAACAATCACAATCTCTTGGCGACAGTCTCCACCTGGCTTACCAGGTGGAAACCAATAGCCCAGAATACACTGATGGAGACAAGACAGTGCTCTGGAGCGGCAGCAGCGCCCCAGCAAATCAAGTCAGGTTCTGACTCTCTCTGACATATGTGAAAAGAGCTGATGCTTGCTGGCGTGGGGGCACAGGCCCCTAAGCCCTAGCACTTGGGAGGCTGAGGCAGGAGGATCTTAGTGAATTCAAAACCATACTGAAATATAGAGTGAGTTAAATGTTAACTGTTTTAACCCCTCCCACCAAAAACAAAACAAAACAAAACAAAATGGTAGTAATTCTAGACTTTTTCCTCAGTGCAGTCTGCTGGCCGATGTCCATCTTGCTCGGTGGAGGCCAGACTTCTTTTTCTTTTTTTTTTTTGCCATAATTTTATTGATAAACAAATAGCAATGAGACAGTTTCAAATCAAATCGGTAGGACAGTTTCAGTAATTAACACACTGCATACATTCTTCTTAGTGGTTAATTACTGTACAAGATGCGGACTTGATAGCCTATTTACAAACACCATTAGAACAAATCATTCTATTCATTAAGAGAATGTAACTATATATCTATCTTAACTACTTTGGATACACAGATACAAAATGGACATTAGTCTGTATCCCCTTTTTTTGTTAAGTTCCATTATTTGAATATTATAGGTATGTAAACTCAGTAAAATATTCTAAAAGAGTCCAGTAGCCCATAATAGTATTGGGTCTTCCGCTTTACTGGCAGTGTCAGAAATTATTGACTTGAGTCCCCCACAGCTCAACATAACACCATGGCTTTACATCTTATACTTTGTTTTTAGACTTTTCTACTGGATGGTTAAGACCAAGATAAAGCAAGACCTATGCAACAAGAGTTGTAGCTTTTGGGTCTGATAAAGTCAGTGAAATCCCCTCAGGATTTATCCTGAGATCTTGTAC